GGGTTCTGAGATTCTCAAGGACCCCAAGGATCCGGTGTATCCTTTGGTGACGGAGTATGCGGACGTGGTGAACAAACACCCACCGACCCAACTCCCACCGGATCGAGGCGTACGGCACGAGATTGATCTCGTGCCCGGCACAAAGTGTTGTGTCACGAGGCAATGGACTCTCCCGCGCGAACAGTGCGAGGTCATTAATGCCTTCTTCGCCGCGAAAGCGAAGGCAGGCATGGTGCGGGAATCGAAATCCCCGCACTCGACGCCGACTTTCTGCGTTCGGAAGCCGAACGGAAAGTGGCGTCTGGTTCACGCTTATAACAAGCTGAACAACGCAACGGTGCCGGCCCAGACACCGATCCCACGAAAGGATGTGTTGTTGAACAACATGGCCGGATGCGTACTGTACAGTGCGCTGGATTTGGTAGACGGATACTACCAAATCCTGATGCGAGAGAGTGACATCCCGCTCACCGCGGTAAGCACTCCAAGCGGCATGCTTTGGGAGTGGCTCGTCATGCCGCAGGGCTTGTCTAACGCCCCGGCGACGTTCAATCGCCTGGTGACGCAATTGTTCCGCCCTTTGCGTACCTTCGTACAGACGTACTTCGACGACATGTTCGTCCATAGCCGTGCCGAGGGAGGCAAGACGGCCATGGAGGTGCATCTAGGACACCTCCGTCGAGTGTTGGACGTGATGCGAGCGAACAAGCTCTACGCCAACATCGACAAGTGCGTTTTCGCGTCACCAGAGATTAAAGTTCTCGGTTGCTTCGTCAGCAACGTGGGCGTTCGGGCTGACCCAGACAAGGTCAAGGCCATAGCAGCATGGCCGACGCCCCGATCCCAGAAGGATCTTCGAAAGTGGTTGGGCTTGGCCAACTACCTTCACAAGTACAGCGCTGGGTACGCGGGCTTCGCTAAGCCCTTGAAACAAAGCAGCGACGGCTTTGAGCTAATGGTCGCAACCAGCCACTTGGGCCCCTTCGCACTCACGGCGGCACTGATAAGCGCCCTCAAGCGTAGCCCTGCAGCTCAAGTGGTTGCGTTGAGCAGTGCCATGCACAATTCCGCGAAATATACCCCTGGCCAACTCCTCATGCCCGAGAGCAAACACAACGAAACGACCGTGTACGGCAACTCCAAGCTGTACAATCTTCTATTCGCATTCGAACTGGGTCGTCGGCTGGAATCTACCGGAATATCCAACATCACGTCGGTCGCTTGTCACCCTGGAGCGACCGACTCGAGTCTTCTCAGCACTGCTGGAAGCCAAGACATTTTTCTGAAGCGCTGGCTCTACAACTTCATGAACGCAACGTTGACCCAGTCGACCGCCATGGGTGCGCTACCTACGTTGTACGCAACGGTGGCTCCCGATGTGAGAAACGGCGATTTTTACGGTCCGAGGGGACTGGCTTCGATGCGAGGGTACCCGTCACTCCAGGAACCGGCAGAGATCGCGCGCTCGTGTGAAGCGGCTGCTGACGTCTGGAACACGACTGAAAATCTACTTGGATTCAAGTTCAAGGTGGAGTGAGCAATTGTGGCATGAGAAGACAGACGAGATTTACTTGACTAGGCAAATTCGATTCTTTTATGAATGAGACATATATCAATACATGTTTCTTTGGCTCTTGTGGTTGACTTCTTGTACTAAATTGTCAATTCCGATTATATTTGCAGCTGGCATATACTTAGCCTTAAAGTTAAATTAGGCAGGCCTAATTTAAAGTTAATTTGTCAGCTTAATTTAAACATTTGCATCCTGTAAACTACTTGAGCGCCTTGTTCACCCCAGCCTTCCGCTTTCTGCCTTCGTCGCTGCCTCTGGGCAGCATTCAATAAGCTAGCTAGTTTGAAGGCATTTGTTCCGGGAAGGAACATCGTTAATGAGCCCAAATTTAGAGGCCCGCGCTTCTTGTTTGGCGCTGTCCGCTGTATCCAGCCGCAAAACTGAGTTTTTTTTTCTTGTGTCTTCGCCAATTCCAGCATTGACAATTGCGGGTACACCACAGGCAGATTGAAAAGATGAACGAATATAATACAGGACGATCGCATATTGGTGAAGATTTTGGAGCGGATGAGGGGATGAGTAGACTTTGTGGCGAATTTGAAATAAGGGCTTGTGACGTCGATAGCCTAAAATAAGATTTGAACGCGACAAGTACCATGCCGCCTTAGATCACAGAATCCTAGAGTAATTGGTGAGCACTATAATCTATGCATCTGCTGCAGCTTGATAATACTAGTACGATAGACTATGGACGATGTAGCCACATAAATTCCAAAACCTAAAGTTTTGCTCTCACGGCCGACGGAATAATAGCATTCACTGTAGATTTAGAGATAATTTGATTTTATGTGTTTCTATACAAGCGCCCTCGCTTTTTGCATTAACGCGCCATGGACTATATGTAGCATCTCGACTGCGCTTGGTCTCTTTGTGGGGTCCATCGAAACACAAGCCCGTCCAAGTTGTGCCAGTGCCTGCGGTCCAGTCTCTGAAAACTTGACGCACAACTCGCCCACTGCTACGCGACGAAGGATCGCCAATTGATGATTCGCTCCAGCACGGACTTTGACGTGGGAATACGGCAGTGTATGCGTCGAGAGCTCAGCCAGCACCACTCCAAAGGAAAAGATATCTGCCTTCTCGTCGTACTGTTCCCCTGTCATCACTTCTGGAGCCATCCATAGCGATGTACCCACTTCTGCCGTCATGGGACCGACAGTTTGCTCTCGAGATACACCGAAGTCCGTCAGTTTAGCGTCTAACGTTTGATTCAGCAGGATATTCTTCGATTTAAGATCACGGTGAAGAACTCGTACTTTAGCAGAATGCAAGTACGCGAGAGCTCGAGCAACTTGAAACGCGATCATTATTTTACTAAAGTCGAAGCCGGTTGGGCGGTTCTGCTCTATGTTTTTATCCAGTAAAGTCCTCAAATCGCCCCCATCCATGTATTCCATCACGCAGCAGAAATCTTCCGGTGAGTTCCATGCTACACCGATAAACTGCACAACATTAGGGTGATGCAAACATGCCAGCATCTTGATCTCTTTCGTAAAGGTCCCCACATCGCTCATCGTCTTTATAGCTACCGTCTGACCGTAGCAAGTACCTTTAAAGACTGTACCGAACCCACCGCGAGAAAGAAATTCTTGTACAACCACCTGATCGCGAGGAAGTCGATATTTGTTGATACCTTCTTCATCAATTTGAGAAGTCCAAGCGTTATCTATTCGACGTTGCTGTTCCCGGTCCAATGCTTGGTTCTCATAATGGTTATTGTACGGATAGTCCGTGCAGCATTGGCCCTGTGGAGATTCCAAAACAGGTACCAGCTCTTTGACCTCCAAAGATCCGTCAATTTCTAGTACGGGGGTTAACTCGAATGCATCGAGCACTGACTTTAAATGATTGATCTCTGCTTCGATGGCTTGAAGCTCAAGTTTCATTGATTTGGTGCGAACAAGACGAGTTATAAGGGATTTGCGGTCGCAGTAGTTGTCAAACCGGGCCATCGTTTCATCGAGCTGCTTGCGAATATCGAACGCTACGAGCTCCTCCATGGCTTGGATGCGGGTTTGAATCGTTCTTAGTTGATGATGTAGTTGGTTCGCTTCTGTCGGCTCTGCGCGGCCAAATTCGTTCAAAGGGGCAGCCTCGTGCCTTCGTAGGCGAAGCTTCATCTGTGATTAGACGCGTCAACGTGGTACTAGCCCGGCAATCGGTGGGACTTCGAGTGAGAGATCAGCTCGCGGATGGAGTTGGCGACACAGGCACACGCATCTGTAATCGGTGCCGTATTCGGTATCGTCACTGCTTGCATTATAAATAGCCGCTTCGCTCCGTCGTTTTATTATAGCTCTGTCCCAAAAAAAGACAGATCCCATTGGACAAACTGGCACCATCGCAAATCGGTCAGCTAGGCCACTTTGCTAAAGATCTCTTTTTGTCGAGTATTATAGTTAAGTGGTGGTGGTATCCATAGGTGCTAATGTGCATCTTAAAAGCATTTGGCTCGAGTACGAAACGTTTTGGTATCCGGATATCTGAAAGCGATCAAGTATCGGTTTTGAAACTCGGATAAGTTATAGTTATTCAAGCAAGACAAAACGCAGCTGCATGGGATGCAGAGGACATTAGCACGTCATGGATTGCGACTGTCTCCAGGATCTAGCGCAGAACGCAGCACGAGTAAGAACATATTCGCAGCCATACAGATCAGATAGTCAAATTAAAACTCTGCGTCAACAGCCAGCTTCAGTCAACAAGCATTGGAATGGACCGATTATTCTCTGAAATCTATTTCAGGGATTCGATTTTCCTCGCGTAGCTACTAAGATTCTGCATTGGTACCCTCTTTACACAATTCGATTGGTGCAAACCAGTTCGTAAAATTGATACCCTTTTTATATAATTTTGAAAGCACTATCCGTAAAACATGAAATTAATGGTATGTTAAAGCCACCGAAATTTTTTTTTAGTTGTATTCGACCATTTGTAGATCGTTTATTTTTTTGCAAGTGCATCACTCTACTCTGCCGTAGACCCACATTCTTTGCTTTAGTTCCTCAAAACGTAATTGCCCCGAATGATAAATGTATCCTCCATGTTTAGTTCTCGTTTTTTTAATCCTAGTCATTTTTTTTAGATTCTAGAAGGTTGAAAACGTGTCAGCACCGATTAAATGGGGTGAGAGACCCCAATATGCATTAGGCTAACCACGAGCATATCAGTCACGATGCAAAATTGCTTTTTTGGAGTGTTTTGAGTCCTTTTACTTTCTATTTTTGACATTTTCGCCAATATTTAAAAAAAGTGAAATGGTTATGTACAAGTAAACACCTTTAATCACTTAAATCTGAATTGTTTCTGAATCACCCACGAATGTCGACTGTGTCGGCGACGGCTCCTTTGTGCAAGAAGCAACTACACTCGGCTACAACTCGGTCAGTTTTATACACTAGAGATTGCTGTTTAGATATGTCAGAGCTTTGATTGATACGAAAAATTAATTATTCAAATGTTGACTCCCAAAATGATAGTTGAAGTCCCTAAAATCAAGCACTAATCTGATACTTCCTGCATTAACAAGGCGTGCAATACACGCATTGCTTCAGATGCTGTCGGTCTCTTCGTAGGGTCCATGGACACACAAGCCAGACCCAATCTTACCATATTTCGCGGTCCAGTCTCAGCAAATTCCACGCTTAACGCTCCCGTCACTACTCGATGGAGAATAACCAGCGGCGACAATTGATCTTTCGACCCGGGACGCTTGGCGTGTGAGTACGGCAGGGAATGCATCGACAGTTCCGACAGCACCACTCCAAACGAAAACATGTCTGCCTTCTCATCGTACGCATTCCCAATCATCACCTCTGGAGCCATCCAAAGTGACGTACCCACATCTGCAGTCATCGCTCTGTCTACGCGTTCCCGAGAGACGCCAAAGTCCGTCAACTTGGCTCCCAGCGCTTCGTTCAGCAGAATATTCTTCGACTTCAAGTCGCGATGAATCACTGGAACGTCTCGAGAGTGCAAATAGGCCAGAGCATGAGCGACATGCAGCGCGATCGTGATCTTGGCAGCGTCGAAGCCTGTCCGACGGTTCTCGTCCTCGTATTTGTCCATCAAGCCTCGTAAATCCCCTCCGTCCATGTATTCCATCACACAGCAAAAATCTTCTCGATAATTCCACGCCACACCAATGAACTGCACAATGTTCGGATGACTCATGGTGCTCGCCAACTTGACCTCCTTGACAAACGAATCCACGTCACTCATCGTCTTCACTGCCACGAACTGGCCGTTGTATGTTCCTTTGTACACTTTTCCGAACGCTCCCCGACTGATAAACTCCAGTAGAACCACTTTCTCGCGAGGTATCCGCGCCTTGTTGATGACAACATCGTCCGTTTGGTATTCCGTATAGGAACATTCCGAATCCGAAGTGGCAGTGCTCTGGTCATCAAAGGAATCGTTAAAGTCCGTAACTGGCTCTTGCGGGTCAAACGACTCCTTATTAAAAGAGCGGTTAACTCTTCCTTGAGCGCCCTCTGGCTCTGTTTCGATGGCCAGCCACTCCCCACTGAGCTTGCCACGTAGCGGGTGCAGCATCTTCGGCACTCCAGGCTTTGACAGAAGGTGTGCGGCCTTGTCGGAGATTTTCCGCTCCTGACTGTTGAGTTTATCCTTAAGTCGCTCTTGTGTCTGCGTCAAATGCTCCCCCATGGCGGTATAGCTATGGACGATTGCAGCTTCGCAGTGCTCCAACTTGTCCGAGAGCTTCTTCTCTTGGCTCTTCAGACTGCTTTTCACGCGCACTCGCGTCTGTGTCAGGTTCTCGCCCACAGCAGTATAGCGGTCCACCACAGCCGCCTCATACTCGTCCAGTTTGTGCGAGATTTTGCGCGCCACTTTGTGGAACGGAGACGTCATGACCAAGTGGACAACTACACGAATGAATGTCCGGCCCAAAACATGCCCGTACGACGCCACCACATTGCAATAAGTGCACATAAACCGTTGATTTGCAAAAAAAAATATCATCACTTCGTCATTAGGAAAAGCTTCTTTATTTGTAGCGAAGATGAAAATGAAGCATTTTATCCGACAGGGTCCGACGCTCAGCTGGCACATCCAGGTTTGACGGGAAAACATTAGGTTCGCAATTTCTGGACTTCCTGGTACTTGAACTGGTAATCGGCAGTCAAATCCAGCCAGCTCGGCTCGTTAAGTAGCCCCTTGAACCACCATAAAAATTAGCACGTAGTCCTGGATTCTTAATTCGTACTTAGTATGCCTCGAGCAATTTCCAGAAATCAGCTCTTATATAATACTGGTTCTTTAAAATTGGCAAATTGACTAAAGGGCGAAAAAAAATATTTTGACATTAGTTTAAAAAAAAACTTACTACCGGGACTTTTTATTATTAGGCGATAAACAATTGCAATTGATAGTGTTTTACAGGCATTAAGCACCGAGCATCGCACGCCACGTGAGCGCCACGGCCCTAGATATCGCTCTCATTACAGCACCGACAGCTGTTCTTATCGCTAGATTAGTGGCAGCCTCCAAAATTAATTGTCATAAGGGTTGAACTTCTAGCCTTAGACGAGGCTCCCTGAAGGTCATAATCTTGCTGATATACATGCGATGGCCCTCGCTAATGCACTGTGAAGCCAGTTAGCGCGAATGTAGCCTTCGTATTTTGCATGCAATCTCTGTAGTAAGGGACCCCATGTCAAGTCGCTTTGGGCTTATAGATCACTAAAAGTTTACTACAAACAAGTAAAGAGTACCTGGTTTGCTAGGTCAAAAGGAATAATTTAGACATACATGATACCGCTCCGTAGATAAGATAAAGTTTACGATTTAGTTGACTATGGATTGGACCCGACATCGCGGAGCAAAATAGTTTTTCGCTGATGAGAGCAAGAAGGATCATGAAGATAAAAGCAATCAGCCGTAGTTTTAGAGGTCTCATGCAGATCTGGTTTTGCAATTTGCCTAATTCACTTTTGGGCTGCTGTTAAGTCGATTCGACTTCAAAAATGGAAATGCACCACTTTCGGTCCTACGCAGAGCATACCGTCTCCTCGAATGCAGCTCCGAGACCTGCGCCGAGGCAGGCAAGCAGAAATGACCGTGGCGAGGGAGAAGTTATTACCTGCCTCAGCTTATATCTAGGGTACATCTAGGATGTGTCTACCGCAGCCACGCCTAAGAAGTAAAAGCTTACTTCGACTGAGATGGCTTTTTGTCGGGAGCTGGTGGACCAGCATCGGAGGCCCATTCGCTTGGCTTTTTCCCGAAAGTTTGCCATGGACCCGTCGTCGCTACAAATCGTGCAAACTTTGTGAATTACTTTCTATAGTCTTTCTAGACAGGTATAATCGCCCGAAGGCGTTGAAGGCGTGGGTTCAGCCTCGTGCCTACCACGGTAGTGAAGAAATGACCCAGGAATTTAATTTGGGGGGGGGGTACGACCCCGACGACAATCTGGCCGTTGGAAACGAGCCCAAGGAGACCATTCATTGTCGGACTCACGATACGATGCTTCCGTCTGAGAGTAGTGGTGACGTAGGGCTCGTCACGGGGGGATCGTTCTCCATGTGTCGATCGCTTCTAAGAGTTGGAGCCATTTAAATGTAAATACACTTAAGTATCAGCTTTTAGAGAAGTAATCAGGAAAGAACGTAAACACGTAAGTGCTGGGCAAAAAGGCCGCGACAGGACTGCGGTGTCTGGCAAGGCTGCTCTTGTCTGCTGCTCTCGGGCGAGCGGCAGGCGTCAAAACGCAAAGTGGGGAGCAGCCTCCGCCAGAACACCGCTGTACCCCAAAAAGTAGATTAGTATACAAATAGCAAATAGGTCAATACTAAAAACTAGATAAATGCACTCTCGTTTGAGTACACCATCTTGGCAGCGCACAGCCAACAATGTATTGTGCATACAGTCCTTGGTATAGTCCTTCGCCATTGCACGCATGTGTACTCAGTGTAGCCGGTCGTAGTGCAGCCGCACGCTGCACTGCCAGGCGCGTGAGTGTCCTTGGGATGTGTCTTTGCAGACACTGGCAGTGGACGGTGGCTCGTAGATGGGGGCACCGGACACTGGCAGACTGCAATGCACTGGCGCTCGACACGCAGGTAAGTTTACAGCTCACAAGAGTTTCGTTTTGCATGTGGATTGCACATGAAAAACAAGCTACGTCAAGTTACCGAGTTGTTGTCGCTGGTATTAGGGACAGATCTCGAGGTTCTCATCTAGTAGCGCTTTTCGTCGTCTTTCAAGAGACGCAACTCGTGTTTGGAGCCGTATTGATGTCTCTCCGGGGGCCGTATATCTGGATCAGCGGGACGGAGTTGGTGGTTTAATTTGCGGTGGATTATGGAGACAAGGCACAGTGCACCCCATTGCACTCGGGTTTAGGGTGGAACGAAGGATTGAATTTATATGTTTTTTTTCCACGTAATGGAATAAGAACAGACGGCAAATAAGCCGTTCTCTCGATTCTATCAGCTCGAATGGAGTGCGACATGTACGACAACCGTTTTGCTCGGGCTCAACAGGACTACATACGAACGCGGGACACGATTTAATTGAAGCGGAAGAAGGACCTGCGTCTCCTGTTATTCGAGAAGTACATGAATGCCCAAGGGGTCGTTCTCTACATGGATGGTGCTTGCAGCTTCGAGTGATTTTGCCACCACTAACAACTCGGCTGAACGCTCAATGAGACTATTAAGAGGGGTTACACGCTTAGACGGAAGCTGAAAATGGAAACGCTATTGAAAGAGCTCAGCGTTTGTGTCGAAGATCAGTCGATGAGCACTTGCGCTTTCCCGCTGGGAGTGACACCGTCGGCAACCCTATCCATGTCTTCGAATGCCAATCGGGCGCACTTTGTATGTCCGTTGCTAAGCCCGTTTTTGGACGTGTGCTATTCACAATTTTGTGGTTGTTCCAAGGAAACACGTTTGATATTTATATATTCTCTTGGTTTTCATCACAATAAAAAAGATGATTTACGCTACTCTTATACGGTGTGTGACGGCGCTGTACCAAGTAAAGTAAATTGCCGTTGGAATTTACGAAACAGTTGATTTTGCTAGCACAGGAGAGACAACTGTAGTGAGAGTGAACTCCGTTGGCCCCACGTATCGTTGCGGCGCCAAACTAACGCGTAGAGGAGGTAATTGCCGTGTCTGCCCAAATGGGCGCATATTATACAAGGATGAAGGTGCCGGACCTGGACCTGCGTCCACGTTCGTTTTGCGCTTAGAATGTTTGGACACGTCGACACCCAGGGCCGAGATACTGGTCAACAAGACCAAACGTCATCGCGAAGCCGACCAAGTAGCCTCCACAGTTATACGCCCTCGGAATATGGACGTGGCACTGAGCTATGCGTAGCCCAGCGCTGTCCGCCCCAACAGGATCAGTGGCGGAGTAGCAAATTACTTCATAACAATTCACGATCATTGTCGGCTAGTGTTTTGTGGAGGATAACGCCCCTTTGACGTGGTAGTGATAATGAAGTAATTGATTTTGAAAACCGACGTACAGACAGAGCAACATTTCGTTTCGAGCTGTCCTCACACCCACGAATGCATTGTGATTGGATCTGTTAATCTCCGTTGCGTGAAGAGCTTGTTGGTGATGTTTCGAGTCCGTCTAAAACCTGCAAGCTTAACACATCACCTAGCGTCTTCAAAATACGTTCGTTAAGTGTCACAAGTGTATATTTTCAGTTTGATGGCTGTAGGCTTACCCTATTCTACTCGCTTCCACAATCACTTCCAGGCTTCTCCGAGCGGTGACCCCAGCTGCCGTCGCAGACGCATACGAAGCAGCGCGCGTTCTCGTAAGTGTACGGCGATCTGTGAGCCCATTTAACGCCCCTTATTTTTATCAATACTTTGACCTGTCTGTGGTTCTGCGTCTCCCCTGAAGGTGCGTTTGGACTACTGGCGTGACTGATAAATCTGGTAATGGAGCCGTATTTGGCAGCCACAACGCAAAGCTCTTCTTTGTCGATTTGGCATTGTACAATAGCATGTACCCATTGCTGTGCTTCGATGCCTGAGCCGGTTGCCCGATTGTTTGTCCTTCCCATTCGCTCAGTGTCCCTGCATATTCACCGACGATATTGCATATGTCTAAGTCAATCGTGGTGTACACGCTAAGTCCCACTAGACCCCTGTCGAATCGTTTGAGCGTGGATTGTGCAATAGGCGCGTTTCTGTAATGCGCTCCAAGCTTGCAGGAAGAAGTCGTCAGAGCACTGCAAGTTGTCGCAGCTGTTCCAGAAGAAACCGCCTTCACATCAGCATTAGTGGTAGGCGCCTAGATCAGGAAATCGTATCCCATTTGTGATACACGCTTTGATCGTTTTGACAGATTTAAGCTCCTCAACCAGCGGGCGACCCTCCGCTGCAGGCTCTTTGAACACAGGGCGTCGTATGTGTAGACTAAGCAGACGACCTCTCACACCGGGTATATTAAACAGGTCCTTTATTTTTGGCCCTCACCGACGACACATGGTGAAGTTGAGATCCGCTGCTGGTTACGCCACACCTCACCTGGTGGCTCGTTTCGTTGAGCGGGAATGTGCCACCTGTCTGGCCCCTGGTGACAAAATAGGAATAATACACTCATACAAACGTTTAGCACACAGAAACTCAGTGTGCCACTCAGATAAGAATTCAGAACGTGACCTGTCCACGTCCTGGATTCTTATCCGCCACGTCCTGACCATCCAAGCAGTGTATTCATATTGGATGTCACTGATTGGATGGATTCTATCGCGGTGGCTGGGCACTTCCCTCATTTCGCATTTTACCTGCTACCGAACAGCCAACCTCAGCGCGACGTGCCTCGGCGGCGGCTGGCACGGCGGCGCCCCCAAGGATTGCTACCGACACTACTGTTTG